CCAGTGCATTACGGGGGCTGTCCACAGCCAGTGCATTACGGGGGCTCTCCACAGCCAGTGCATTACGGGGGCTGTCCGCAGCCAGTGCATTACGGGGGCTCTCCACAGCCAGTGCATTACGGGGACTCTCCACAGCCAGTGCATTACGGGGGCTCTCCACAGCCAGTGAGAAAGGGGCACCCTGCTGGATCAGGCGGGACGCTGTTAGTCAGCCCCAGCAGTGAGGTCCTCCCTGGCCGTCCTCCAGCACCAGAGACCATCATTAGCTCACAAATACACACATACACACCCACATCTGAGACACTGCAGCAGGCGGCTAAACTGCATCAAGACACAATCTCATCTGACCGCGGTTTGTCATCCTCCTCTGTACCACTCAGCAGCCTAGGTAAGAATTTCATGTGACTCCCATGATGCACTGCTCTAACATTAGGGGGTGCCACGCACGGGCAGTGGATGTTAGCAGCCATCTTCACTCTTGCCTCAACATCCCCCAGCAAGATCTGGAACTGTTGCTCATCTTCTAGCTGTGGGGCGCAGCATTAGTTAATGTCCCACACAGCAGCCCCATCCCAGGTCCGTCTGCGCTGCCGTTTCCCGGCAGTACGGGCCACCCTCTGTGCTTTAGGTGACTCTACATCGAGGTCCCTGCAGAATCCCTTGATCACAGCGACCGATGCTGGATGAGCGCCGGCACAGCAGCCTCAGAGGCCCTCGCCGTGCCCCCTACAGCAAGGTGACACAGAGACTCGGTTACATAACCCTGACTGGGTATCGATTAACCCTACCAATCCTCTCCATCTTCCCACTCAATAGGACGAGCGGCCACCCTGGAATTAATTACCTCTCTCTCTCAGACGACCAGTGAAATTAACAGGCTTTTTAATTGCCTCTCTGCATCGTGACAACCATTAATAAGCTCCAACTGGACGACTCCAAAGGCAAACCACTATTAATTTCTAAAAATTGAGTTACTTACACTGGGTGTACGTATCCAGCCTCTGCAAAACTATATTTAAATAAAAAAAAATAGTACTAAATTTCTGTAACAGATGCTAACAAACGCCTTAAGAATGCAGACCATCGATATTCTGTCATCGGTAAAATCCGGAATTTGCATTTTGAAACTGGATAATATCTGCAGGGTTCCAATCCTGAGCCCAACCTCAGGGACAGATATGAAGCTGCTTTTTTAGTAGAGTGTTCAGGGGAGTCTCTGGCAGATTTTACAAACGGACGTCACACCGTCACACCCCCAAAGAAGGACGCGGCGTGTGGGGTGAACATATCAGCCTTGTGAGATCTGTCATGTTTCACTGCCATGCTGGTATGGTTTGGTGGGGGCTTTTGTGCTCAGCACTGACTGGCTTAGACAGGCTGTCGCTGAGGCGTTGCAGGCACGCTCAGGCAAGCGGACGCGTGCGTCAGAGAGGAGAGGTCAGGGACCTGGCGAACACTGTGCCGATTCCTCCAGCAGCAAAAGCTGCCAGCCTGCAGAAATGAATGGATCAGGATCAGTAGATGCACGCAGTTTTAGGTTATTGAATATCTCTGGCAGGGTGACAGACAGGACTGCTGGCCAATCAGCTGGCCACAAAGACCCACAACGTGGTACTACAACTGAAACCTCGAAACCTTAAAAATTAAACTGAAACAGAAATAGGCTGAAAAATATTAAACTTCAGTATGTCACATAAAACTGAAAAGAAATTGAAATGTGAAATGAAATAATGAGAGTATTCATAAAAACTGAAAGCGCAACAAATCTGAAACACGCCGAAACATTATGCCCGTAGGCACCAGTGGTGCATTGTGGGAGCAGGCCAGATATGACACGTTTATACTGAGATATGCAGCTAAGCGGCATTAAAAACGCCACCCTCAGCCTCTCACGGAACATGACATCATAGCACAGTAGCTATGTTACTGATCCTTGTGCAACAGGACAAAAACACGGGGAGTCCTTCCCGTCAACGACGAGACGCTGGAGTCCCAGAGCATCTGTGGTACACGGATGCCAGCATGGAAGTGGCATCGGCCTTTTAGTGACAAAACCGTACAGCTGAACTCGAGCGGGTGGCAGCACCGTCATCGCGCAGCCTCCAGCCGGCAGATGCGATCAAAGCCCCCCAGGACCGGCCCTGTCAAACGCCTCATCTGAATCACAGCCACAGAACACAGTGAACACTGTTCAGGGGGGAGCTTCTATCTACACTGGCAAGAAAAAATATGTGAAACTTTTGGAATTTCATAGTTTTCTGCATTAATTTGTGCATCTGATCTTCATCTAAGTCAAAGGTATTGGCAAATATATTATGGGTATAATAATAACACAAAAATCTTCTTGTGTGGAGCAAACTCAAAAGGTTTGAGTGGCTTTTATCAGTCAAAGTAGCTCTAGTCCACACCTCCAAACTCATTTTCTCAGCAGGACTGCAGAATTGCTGACACCTGAGTCCAATTAGCTTTTTTCGAGGTCATTAACTCAAGGGCTCACTTAGTAATTTTATAGTTGTTCTCAATAAAGACATAAAAGATCAGAATATTTGTGTCATTATTGTACCTACATTATACTTGTGAATACCTTACTTTTTCTTCCCACTCTATCTATCTATCTATCTATCTATCTATCTATCTATCTATCTATCTATCTATCTATCTATCTATCTAATACAGCTCCTCTTCCCGTTCTTTCCCCAGCAGCTGGAAACAGGGATGCACCATGTACCCCTGGATCGTACTTCTTTCTGTCCAACCAGCATGGTGCAACGGAGATGTGGCTGAAGACCCTAAACAAGGGTGTATGGATGCCATTTACAGGTAGGCCCAGTATCTGCAGGAAGGGATGCCTTCAGACTCAGCAGCTGTTAACAGTGGGAATGGGGAACATGAGGGCGCCTTGTTAGCTGGATGAAACTCCTTCTCCAGGTAGATCGGGGGCAGGGCTTGCAGCTCTGTGAAACAGTGGGGCATTGTCCCCCTCCCCAGGACATTATGGAGTCCGTTCTCATGTTTGCCTTACCCGCCACACTCCCCCTTGTTCAGAGGTTTATGTAACCTGTGGAAGCCCTTTATACTTGCATGTGCAACTTTGGTGCTGACCCCTGGTGTTTGGTGGAGGAACATCGCCAAAAATATGTCACCTCTGAAGCCAGTTTCTATCTCTGTGGCGACAAACACACCCACAGTGGGTAAGGAGCCAGTCTAATCTCCAAATCAAGTTGCTAAGCTTGCCTGCTTCACACAGTTGCAGGACATACCGTAGATAACCAGTCTTCTGTCCCTCACCTCTACAGTAACCTGACTACAAGTGGTGGGTGAGTCGCTCCGGGGCTTGTCCGGCAGATTAGCATCCCAGATGAATTCTCAGCGTCACCTTAGTGGTGCTTACAGGCCGCCCCTGCAGCTCAGCGTTACCTTCCGCTGTTCCTCTAAGCCCGGCAGCAGAGATAAGAGCTCCCGGTCGCATGCAGACGTGCATGCGCATTAACACGCACCGGCACTGTGGCGGCACTCGCTCAGCCACACGACGCCGGGCGTCTTATCGGAGGTCAAACTCCTCCACTGCTGGCATATATGAAGGGCAAATCAGGGATGGGAGGGAAAGGAGGGGGGGGGGGAGCTGGAAAAATAAGTCAATGAGGCCAGCATGTGGAGCATCAAGGGGGGCAGCGATGTGGATTTAATGCGACGGTCACGCTGCCAGAGCTCGTTAATGATTAGGGCAAAGCGGGAGAAAAAGGCAGCGCCACGCTGACTGTGGTCCACTAAGCAGCCGGAGAAGTTTGTGGATGAAGGAAGAGAGGCTGAGCTGGGGGCGGTGTGGGGGGGGGGCTGGTTTTGAGGTGACTGATAAGGGAGAGAGCGCCTGCTGCAATTTCAGCTCTCCTCTGCATGCTCGTCAGAGGAACAATGGAAAGGGGAGATTAGACCTAATTCCAAAGAGAGAGAGAGAGAGTGAGTGAGAGAGAGAGAGAGAGTGCACACACTTCAGAGAGAAAGAAAACAAAACACATTCCTGAAGAACAGGAGCAATCAGCAAAGACGGGGTGGGGGGGGGGCAGGGTGTCTACATGGGGGGGCGCCAGGCAAATTAAAACCGTCTCAACAGCGGGATAGAGGAACTCAAACTTCACGGTCCAACAGAAACTCGGACGGGCCCGACTGTGAGGAAGGACGTCCTGGAAGAGCAGGTACGGGCAATTGGGGGATTCTTTATGCCTTTACACAGGGGAGCCTGGGAAGAGACTCAAGCAATCCATCTGTTTAAGAGCCTGAGGAATCAGGACGGGGAGTCGGGCTGTTTGTATGTGCTGGAAGGCACCTAGGTCACCTGAAGGAATGATTTCACACTTATAGATGTACCATGATTTGAAACAGCTAAACTGTGGATCTCCTGCTTATTCAAAGAACTGTTCCACACAGACTTAACAGCATTAATCATCCTTACTGAGCATCATCTTCTCATCAGCTCAAATTCTCCCTGCATATTGGACATCTGTAATTCCTCAATGCTGGGAAAGATTCCTAACCCCTCGGAAAGCAACGGGACTCCGTATTTCTATTTTTAAAACGCGAGTGACTGCAATATTTGTTTAACAGTATCCGTCAGCTTCCGTGGATAATCAAAGAAGCTGTGGGATTCAGTCTGGCTCGACTTTCAGATTGAAAAGGCTGAGGAATAAACCTTATCTTATTTTTCTTGAGGAAGAGAGGGAGGTGGGCAGCTAGGAACAGCTAGTCCCGGCCGGGTGGGAGTACACAGAGGAAGGAGAAGGGAGAGAGAACAGGGCGTGTGCTGGAGCAGCCCGGTGCCAGTAGGAGAAGACATGCCGAGCAGGTGGAGGTCCTAGCAGGAGAGTCCCAAGCAGACCACACCCTCTGAAGGATTCTCACACGAGACACCTGGGGAGGGCTCCGGAGCACAGAGGACATGGGGGCGCGAGGCACGGAAAACGCGCCTGAGGGAAAGCAGGCCGTATGCCGGACTAGCAGCCACCTCTCCAACTCCACCTACCGCAAGATTAAGAGAGTCTTGAGCTTCAAGAGACGTGAGTACCCAGAAGCCCCCAGCCCCTGTGCTTTTACGGCAGCGACACGCGCTACAGCAATCAGTAGGGTTCTGACCTTGAGGCTGAGAGTGGAAGAAGACTATCACAGTCCTGGGGTAAAGGGATTCAACAGGAGCACCTGTGCTGGTTGTAGCAATGATATGATGCCTGTCCAATCATCTCCTTGGTCAGGGTCTCAGGGGAGCCTGGGACCTCTAACAGGGAGCACTGGGCTGGGGCACACCCACGACAGATTGCCAGTTTGTCACTGGGCACTTTAGAAATGACAGCTCTTCCAGAGAGCACCTGCATAGCATGGGGAGAACAAGGCAACCACGCTACACATTGAGTAACCAAGCCCCCTCCCCCAGCCCCCCCATGTTGTGATATCCTCCAGGGAAGTCAAGGTCAAGCAGAAAAGACTAAACCCGCTGGTGATTCAAACTGCTTTAGGCTATGCAGCTTCCAGGGTAAATGTCACTTTAAGTCATGCTGATAACGAGCTGTGCTCTAGCTGTGCATAAGCACAGGTCCCCTTTGCAGGGGGTCATTGGACGGCATATATCCTGGTTAATGTTTCTTTGAACACTGTTACCCATTAGCAGTCATAGGGAATGTTAGGAGCAGAACCACCCTGTCCCACCTCTCTCCCTCTTTTCTCCTCCTTTCTTGCTTTCCACTCCCAACAATTTGAGAGAATTGAGATTTTGAAACCCACACTGGATGGAGTTACTCAGCATTAACACTGGCTGGTGTTACCCATGCCCATTACTTACTGTATTAGCCAGCACTGGTTTGCAGTAGGAATGGCAGAGCTTGTTAGTCCCTAAGCCTCATTTCCCACATCACTTGCGTGATGTGATATGGACTCGGTCCCGCACACATCGCCTCGTCTTAAGTCTTGCACCTCTCTGCCCTTAAGGTGTCTTTGGGCAGCGTCTGGAGGAGACTGTGGTCTACGAGCGGCGCTATGGAGAGCATGCAGCACCCCTGGTGGTGGAGCAGTGCGTGGCATTTATCCGTGAGCACGGCCTGCAGGAAGTGGGGCTTTTCCGGCAGCCCGGCCAGGCCACGCTGGTCAAGGAGCTCCAGGTGGCCTTTGACACCGGGGAGAAACCCACATTTGACAGGTGGGCCAGGCTTCTTCATAATGCTTTTCTTTTAAGGGAATATGCGAAACCAACGGAATTTAAAGGAATATGAGGCTTTTGGTGATTCGATATGGTCAAACAGGTGTGCAATCATTTCCTGAATAACTGCACTTGTGAATCGTAATGTTAAACGAATGTCAAAACACATAACCACAACATGCATTAATGAGTAACTAGCCGTGTTCGCGTGCGCTCCTGTACGATGCAGTTCCACGGACGTCCACACGGTGGCCTCCCTGCTGAAACTTTACCTGCGGGAGCTGCCTGAGCCAGTGGTTCCCTTCTCCCGCTACCAGGAATTCCTGCAGTGCGGAAAGAGAGTCCACTTGGAAAGGAGACAGGTACATGTCACTGGAGGCAGGAGAAACGGAGCTCAAAGAAGTCCGCAGTGGCTGGGATCACTGCCACCATCAATCACCAACAGCTCTTCTGGGGGCACTTTAAAACTCGTAACAAATCTGTCTCCTTTAGACTCTAGAAGATCTGAAGAAACTGCTGCACGAGCTACCGGTCGCTAACTTCAGCCTGCTGCACTACGTCTGCCGGTGAGTGTGTGACACACAGCAACGGTGTCCTGCCCATGACATCGACACAGCGACAGCGGGCAGCTCTCCTGCTTCCATTCACAGCACCGCTATCAAGGTTCCTGCTTTAGCTTTTACGCGATCCAGGTGATATAATATGAATTTGCTCATGAAATGAGCTGGAAATAGTAGGAATCATTTGCAGACAGATTTGTTCCACAACAGCGAGTCCCCATGCTGCGTTGCTGAACACTTCACACTGGGAATGACTGCAGAGCAGACATCTCCCACACATTACTCACACAAGCTGCCATCTCCATTCCTCTAAGCCAGTGTTTCCAAATCCGGTTCTCAGAGACCCACAGACGGTCCATGTTTTTGCTCCCTCCCAGCACCCTGCCAGATGGTCCGTGTTTTTGCTCCCTGCCAGACAGTCCACTTTTTTGCTCCCTCCCAGCTCGCTGCCAGATGCTCCATGTTTTTGCCCCTCCCAGCTACCTGCCAGATGGTTCACTTATTTGCTCCCTCCCAATTCCCTGCCAGACAATCTACTTTTTTGCTCCCTCTCAGCTCTCTACCAGACGGTCCACGTTTTTGCTCCCTTCCAACTCCTTACCTGGGAGGGATCAAAAACGTGGACTGTCTGCAGGTCTCCAAAGACCGGATTGGGAAACAATGCCCTAAGCAAATACGGAACCTCATACACGGTTAAACATCTTAATCAAACATCTTAATCCTGCCTTGTGGGTCCATCTCCCGCAGCATGGCTTTCTGAATCACTACATTGTGTGCACCATCTGTCTCCCCATTCCAGGTTCCTGTTTGAAGTGCAGTCACATTCCCACATAAACAAAATGAGCACCCAGAACCTAGCCACCGTGTTTGGGCCGAACATCCTGCGGCCCAAAGCTGATGACCCGGAGAGCATCATCGAAGGTTTGCGTCTGTTAGTAATTCAATCCCCCACCAACAGGCACATGTAACCATTATTATTTAGCATTCCAAGTCAACATCATTTGTAGTATAGATATAGTCAACAAGGGGCAAAAAAAGTGTAACCTGGGAGAAAAAAAGAGTCTTATCCGCAAAGGGCCAGTGTATATGCGGGTTTTTGCTGTGACTCCCTAATTAGATTACTAATTAGTGGACTGATTGGCTGAAGAGTCCTCACACCTGGGTTTGAACAGCTGACCTAAAGGTTACCCCAAAAACCTGCATACAGACCGGCCCTTTGCGGATAAAACTGACCACCCCTTCTGTATGTAATTGTACCTTGTGGTCTACTTTAAGGTACAGAAATTGACTCAGAGAAACATACCCAGGGTACAAACAACATTATTGTACCATCACTGATACAAAAATGTTCCTGTGCCAAGCAAAGGTACAAATTGGTACTATTTTTTTAACCAGACACTGTACAAAAAACAACTACAGATAATCAGAGGATTAACTATATAAGAGAAAGTTTATGATTAATGTATAATCCAAATTTAGCCAGGGTGAGGCACTGCAGCGCAGGAGAGCATGACGACGGCATTAGTTGTGAATGTTTACCGTGGTAACAGGTCATGTCCGTGTGACCTCCCCCTGCGGGCCCCCCAGCCGCGGAGCAGAAAGACGCTTCTGTAATTCCATCTGTGCCACTTCAGGCACTTTCCCAGGACGCCTAACCTTCAGACAGGGCAGCTGAGGCCCCCTGAGCCCTGAGCGAGCACATTCCTCCCGTGCGTGTGTGAGGGAGAGGGAGAGCGTTTCTCTGAATGAGAGCATGCGCGTGCGTACGAGCGGCGGAGAGGCGGCTCATGTGACGGAGCAGCGCTGTGCCGTGAAAGACCACGTAGCCGGGGAGAGTGAGTGTGGTTCGGCATGTTCTCCCACAGGAGCAGCGCTGGTGCAGCAGCTGATGTCAGAGCTGATACAGGAGTGTGACGGCCTGTTTCTCAAGGACGCCGAAGCGGGACACGGGCCGGGCTCGCTCCTGCCGCCGGAACCTCCCGCAGATTCGGCTCGGTGGGTACAGAGATCCTGTCCAACCACGCTCGCCGAGGGCGGCCCCGGGCGCCACCAGGCCTCGCCACAGCTGTCGCTGCCCTTCGCCTCCACGCCCCGGGAATCTCCCCAGCCCACCGGAAACACCCCCCCAGCCCAGCACGCCTCGGAGATGGAGCTCTGCCTCCCAGCTCCGCACACCACCACTCCGGGGGGCCTTGGCGACTTTGCGCACAGCAGCTACCGCCTGCCCCATTCCCAGCGACAGGTCTTGGTGGAAAAGGCCACCCCCCTGCTCCGCACTGGCCCTCCTTATCATTCCCTCCTGCAGGAGGCCCATCAGGCCAGCGACGCTCATGAGAGCACTCTGTCTGTCTACGACAACATCCACCTGGCCAACCACAATCGGGCGTGTGCGGACAGCAGCTCCTGGTCCTCCTGCGAGATCATCCTCGAGGGAGCCGCTCTCAGCGTCAGCCCGGGCTCTGGTGGCCATTGCTCCTCCAGGACCGATGTGGACCAGCCTGGGCCCGGTTCCCTGACCTCCTTGGTCATCAGCGACGGGTCCCCCAGCAGCTGCAGTGACACCTTCCTGCCCCCAGCTGGCTCCGACCACCTGCCCGCACTGCATTCAAGCAGCAGATCCATCCAGAGCCTCGTCACTGGGCTCCAGCAGCAGATGGCCAGGCAGAAGGAGGAATACGAGAGCCAGATCAGAAGGTAATGACGTCTGCATGACAAGCTCCCGCTCACGCTTCTAGAATTACAGACTCCCACGTTTCAACGATTGCCCCACTTTCCAGTTCATCTCAGAGTTTTATAGTACAAAGACCACAGATCTCACCCTAAATCCTTTTCTTGTTACAATGTATTACTCTTTATAAAACACTGATCACTCCATATGGCAGGATTGGGATTCCGATTTAACTCCATTAAAGAACCCTCTTTTTCCTTAAATCACCCCAACAACAGATAGTTACTATAACAAAATGTATTACAGGCCAAAAGACTAAAGCATCTAATAATTTGAGCCTCACATAACCAGACTGATTCCATTTGTGGAAACGTTTTCCATGCTGAATTAGGTAAAACACAAGAGTCTCACTCAGCACAGTGATCCAACAAATCGAGCAGAAAAATCTAGATTAAAACAAGCATAAGACTCACAGAAACGCCAAATTTTTGTGAAGTGTGGATGCATCAGGGGCCTTGAGCCCCAGGTTGTGTGCTGCAGAGCATTCTGGGAACTGGTACACCGGTTCATTTTTAAAACCCACTCTAATACTAAGTGGTAGAACCGTAGGTCAGGTCTCGCCTGAAGCGCCCATCTCTGGCAGCATGTCTGAAGCTTTCCCAGGCACTGTAGTTCCAAAGCGCTCTGATCAGAGCCCACGGTCCCCAAGAAGTCAGGGATCGACACTGATGAACACTCAGCATCCTCACAACAAGATGAAGGTGTGGTGGTGATTTTGTGTGTTTGGTCATGTGGCCACAAGGTCAAAAGATCACCAGCATCATCTCCCTGCTAAGCATGTACCCCTGTTTTCCTGACCCTGCACTGAAAGACGTGCTTATGCTACTCGAGTGTCCATAGCAGGGGAATGAAGCGTTCTCTATTCCTGTATTAATCATGGCCTTAACATGTGGCTGGTCTCCCAACCATGGCATTGGCGTGAGCATTTTCCATTCTAGCCCCAGAAATCTATGCACAATGTGTAAAAAGATGCATCACACATCAGCTTAAAGCAACACTGACATAGTGTAATAATTCAGAGTTCGAAATCATTAGCCGTTTGAACTGCTGCCTGTCCCGTATTTAACAGGATATCCCTCTATTGAAAAATAAAATACTCTTTTTTCAACCAATGTGGGGTAAGATCAGTCCAACATATGTCACAGTCCTTTCACCCCCACCGTTACTAAATTTTATAATGGGGGCGGGGGGAGGTGTCCAGTATTTCTTCAGATTGAAAGTAGCAGTCCTGTTAGCCATAGCAATTTGTTTGCTTTGTATGGTAGGGGATGGCAAGCCAGCTCATTTTACTGTATTTTCTAATGTATTTACATCCATCCATCCATCCATCCATCCATCCCCTTCTGCACTGTTGTATATGTTATATGTACAGCACTCAGCCTCTGCAGTTCCAGTTCTCTGACACGAGTGTCAGCTTGTCCCTCCAACCGCTTCCTCTTTCCTCAGCCTGGAGCAGCGCAACGAGGCCCTGCAGGGCGAGGTGTCCATCCTGCGCGGCAGCCTGGAGCAGCAGCGGCACTGGTACAGCGTGGTGCAGATCAAGATGCGCAACGCGGAGCGGGCCTGCGCAGACGCCGACCGCCGCAACGCCCTGCTCCAGCAGGAGATGGAGCAGTTCTTCGACACCTTCGGGGAGCTCACCAAGGAGGCCAGGAAGACTGAGCGTATCATCCAGAGTTTCTGAGAGGTAGACGTCCTGAGCAGGACCGACAGGCTGAGTAACGGACCTCCTGGAACCATCTGGCAGAACTTCATTACGGCCTGGACGGTCACTCTTGGGATTATTTGCCCCACAGGCTGCTGTGGAATTTTCTTTGAAGTCAGTGAGGTTTTTGCCAGTCTCTGCACTGCCGCCCTCCAGGGATTACGCTAAGATCAGCTCCAGCAGCATCCACTGAACCCAGGGCCGATGGAGGGGCATGGATACCCTGGCAGATTCAAGGGGCCCGGCACTTCAAAGGGGCCCCAGATTTTACCGAGGGGCCACTTGGGGTTGCAAAATCAACCATAGAGGGCCTAAGGTGATATTTTATCGGGGGGGGGGAGGGGGCAGAATCTCTAGCTATGCCCCTGACTACTGTGTGGGTTTTTATAATGCAGGTCACCACAGTCCTGCCTGCCCCCACCCACACACAGCTGGGCCAAACGACAGCAGCTTGGTAAAGTAGCTCTTTGTTAAATCACCTCTGATGCTGACAATAAATAAAGTGTAAGAGTTCACTTTGCTCTCCTTCTCTGCATGTAAGCACGCACGCACGCATGCACACACACACACACACACACACACACACACACACACACACACACACACACAGGTTTGTAATTACCTATTGTATTCATATCCTTTAGTTTCACTTTTAGTTTTTTGATTGCATTCAAAATTCATTGTGCAGACCTGAAAAATGATCCCTACAATGTAATATAAATATAATCCCCACATACACACACTCACACATACACACACAGATTTGTAACAAAGGATAATGAAAAACAGACAGGAGCTCCACATACAGGTGTTTTCACAGCTGTGACACCTGCTCCTCATTACGCAGGTAACTGAGCCTGTTGCCTGTTTATGGATCCTGCGCTGAGCCAGTGGGACTTTCAGGGCAGCCTTATATAAAGGGAGCATTGGCCAAAGCTCATCATTACTCCTACATAGGGAGACCAAGTTCTGCTTTGCAGTAAAGACGACATCGGGGGCATTACGCAAAGAGAGGCGTCAGAGCAACACGAACATGCACATGGACAGTGTTCTATCTGCAGAGCGCCAATGTCATCAAGAAACAAAGCAAAATCCCGGACATTTCAGACATTTTTAGGTCCCAAAAAGGGGGGCAAGTCTGGGAAAAGGAGGGCGTACGGTCACCCTACTCCATACGGTCACGCTACTCCATACGGTCACCCTACTCCATACGGTCACNCTACTCCATACGGTCACCCTACTCCATACGGTCACGCTACTCCGACAGCACAGGGCTCAGTCTGACTGAATCAGAGGCTTGCTTGTGGGGCTTGATGCACTCAGTCCGTGTTCCTGCTGTGTCTGTCTCAGTTACCAGCATGTTCACCGGCTTGGTGGTTTCGGGTCTTGGTGTCGTGTCTTAGGGTTCATGGCTAGAACATGGCACTGAAAATCTGGACTGATGGTCCTGGGAGTCGGCTCCCCACAGCTGCTGTGTGGTGCCGCTGGCGTCCTGGCTTTGGGCTGTTCTGTGAGTGTCCTGCTTTCTGTGTTGCTGCCCCAATTCGGGCTTCCTGGTTCCTGATCTGGGTTCCTGATCTGTGCACCTCACCGGGGAGCCGTCCATCCAGTCAGCAGCCCAATTCCCAGTGCGTCCCTGATTCCTGCAGCAAACGGTCTGCAGGTCTCAGGGGCCAGTGGGCAGAAGGCCTGGTGTGATGGATGGATGGATGGATGGCCCCGTTTGGAGGTGCTTCTTCTCGAATCATGTGCATGAAAGCCACTGAATGTCTGGTCTGTAAGCTTGGAGTGCGAGTCATGACACCAGCCTGAGTGTAAAAATAAAAACAATAAGAAACACGAGTTTGGAATGATCATTGTATTTTTGAGAGACAAGTGAAGGCAATATGGAAAAGTGGGTCCAAATCCAGAGTGGGCTCACAGTACAGAATAATAAACAAAAGAACAGAGAAACACACAGAAACAAAACAAGTCAAGAAGAAGGAACTGCAAACGGATGCATATTTCAGGGCTGTAAACTCGATAACGCTGTCAGGCATGTGAGCACTCTGTGAACATCCAGATGTCGCTTAGGGCCAGAGCGAGGTTCCTGAGGTGGGACTGCGATGCACCTAGTCGCCATTCCCTCCAGCCGCCGCTACCCGTCCATAAGAGCCGCTAAGAGTCCAGTTTGAGCAAAGTCAAAGACTCCAGCCACCAGGTAAGAGCAGCACAGCCCGTGTGCATCTCTGTCGGATCCGGAAAGGAGTCGAGATTCCGGCAGCTTCCCATTTCCTGTGTTGCGATTTGGTGGCTCTTTACAAAACGTTCGTATTCAAAACTATTTCCCCACACCCAGTTCCTGAGAACATGTTAGTCCAGCCATGAGCTGTGCAATACGGGGGGGCAGGGGTGCGTGCGGGGCTTGATCCAGTCCCTTATGCAATGTGCCACCGCACTTTCGAATGGTCTGCTACTGGGATTCATCATCACAGGAAAACTGAGAAGGCTGTTAAAACGATTTGACACAAATGGAGAGGAAGAGTGAACCATCACAGTCTTCCGACTGACTGGATAACGTGCTGTTCTGCGTTTCGCCTGGTGCTACAGTCCGCTTCAGCAGCTGCAGTCATGGGCTCCATAAAGCGGCTGCATTCCTCTGGCTTCCACCATGGAGATCAGCGTAAGTCAGACTACATTACCAATCAAACTAAAAAAAGGGCCTTTCTGAGAAAGCTCTGCCCACCCCAACAGCCGGTGGCCAGCGGGATCCGTCAGGCAAAGGGCCGACGCGCTGCCCTCTCCGATCGGACAAGGGGGCTAAACCACACATTCAAACGTGATTCAGACCAGAGGATACAGAGCCTGACAGGTACCTGTGTGTAAGCACTGCTCTCTCAGCCTTGTAACATAAGGGCTGAGTAATGCTGTAAAAGCAACCGTGGGCGACGATAACCACGATCATCAGCAAGGGGGCCGCACGGGAATCCCCTCAAACACCCCCGCCACCAGTAAATGTAATGGGGAAATGTACTGTCAAAACAGGGTTTGATTTTATAACAGCCAGAAATATCATTTTTCTATTTCTTGAAAAAAGCATCATTTGGATTCTCTTCGGGAAAATGACTTGAATCAGACTTTAAGATGATACCAATGCAAACAAAGCACACATGTGATATGTTTGAGGGTTATCCCAATCATGGTGCCTTCCCGCACGAGGCTGGTACTGCGGGGGGCGGGGGGGGGGCCACATTCGCAGTACAAACTCGTGGTGGAGGAGGTGTGTATGCCGACGGCCTGCAGCGAACTCATCTGGGTCCTGGTATTAATCGGGGACAGCTAGACAGATACTGCTAGTGTTACTGCTTTTACCAAGGGGGGGGGGGGGGGATAATAAACTGAATTCAAATGCAAACATTGTGTAAAACTGCTTTTTGGTACCAGTCGGGATACCCCCCCAAAACACAAGCACATGCAGCAGAACAGTCTATATGTCAAACTACAACAATCCTTGACACTATGAATGCTGAGATACAAAAAAGCATTTTTTGTTACAGATAACCTCCCTTCAGCCCACTCTCATGTGTTACATAAAGATTATGCAACTGGAACAATCAGTGTGAAAAAAATCCAATCAATCAACTGTATTTTAAATGACAATAATACTGCTTACTTTACAAGCTGGACTGGCCAAAATGGGGGGAGCGAGGTGTCTGATATGAGTGATTTTAAATTAAAAAAAAATCATAAAAGAGAAACCAACAAATTATATACGAGATAAATCAAATATTTTGAAGCCACCCGTTTTTAAGTTAAAACAGCGTTTTCTTGGCTTACAAATGAGTTTGAATTCACTTTTTCTTTTCCATATATTTCACACAATATCTGTCATAAAGAAACATGATGGATGATGCTCCTGATTCTAATTTTTCTATCAAGTCTAACTTTTATTTTACATTCCATTGAGTTTGTCATTTCCCTTTATCCTCCATGGTACATTAATTTAAAAAAATGTTTCCAAAAGAGCAAAACAAGTTAAACTTGCGATACGGATGATCCATCTACTAAATATGAATTACATTTGCAGAATGGCAGGACAAAGCACACAGCACTGCATAATTTTGTCAGTTAAATCCAAAAGGCATTAAACTTATGGTAAAAAAGACAAACTGTATTACACAGCTGTTCCAAGGTGTGATTATACCTCTTAATTTCCTTCCTGTCAGCCTGCATTGGTTCAGGTGACAGCCATGAGGACCTCATGGGATGAAGAAAACCTAAGGCAGCGAATCAAACATATTCCTTATGCATTCATACATAACAGGAAGCCACGATAACACGGCATGTGTAGGGGGCAGGGCTGGTGTGAGGCATGCAGATCCTGTGCCTGGTACTTCTACAAAATACGTAACAGGTGCTCTGATCATTCAAAAAGCAGAATTTGTCAATTTAAAAAAAATAAAAATAAATCAGTAAACCACTAAACAGTTTACCCAGGGGAGAATTTAACATTCACTCTTAAAATGCGATGATAACCTCGGTTTCAAATATTCTCTGGAAGTGTTCATTTTTATTTTCCATGTGGAGTCATTCAAGCAAAGTGCAGCCCGGCGCGATTACATTCAACTGACCATGCCTGATTTGCCGCTTCTTTCTTACATAAAAACAGAAACCTTCAAATGTGCAAACATCTGCGTTTCATTGGCATACAGGTCTGCCGTTGTCGCAGGTGACGGAGATAAAAGAGCGATTGTGGGTGGCGATAGGATTTGTCGAGGGATAGATGAAATGAGGGACACAGAAGTGCTGGATGAGACGAATGACGGAAAAGACGAGTCTGAATGTGGGATGGGCTCACTGGCAGTCCTCCAGAGCCCCCGCCAGGTCACCACTGCTGCTGTCCGTGTCTGAGGCCAGCGTCTGCTCCGTGGACATGGAGGAAAAGTCATTGACGGAAGATGACTGGGAGATGGTGGCACCGCAGTTCACTGTCACATCTGCAGAGGGAGACAGTGAGCAGACAGTGAGCAGCCAAATTAAAAGCACAATGGAGCCATTTCCCTGCTGTGCTCCAGGGCACGAGCGCAGCAACATCACTAACCAGAAGATTCTTCCTTCATCACCCCGTTTTTGTTCCGTTCTTCCCAGTCCATCACCTCTTCATATATCAGTTCTGATAAAAATGGATTTTGAGGACAAAGGAATTATAATTTCTGCACATATATTAAGTACATTAAGTGTATTGTGTTCGGAAAGCAGAGTATCACCTTTCCACTGATCGATGCTGTGCTCTCGCTCCTCGAGCTGTTTGTCCGAAATCTGCGGAGGAGGCTGCGAGCGGCACAAGAACATGCCTGCTATGAGTAACACTCCACTAATAACAGGTTTTATCGGTTTTACACAGTACTAATTAAAGGCAGTAGCTAATTAATAAACCACTTCAAAGGACGTAGCCATTCTTTGGTTATCTATGTTGTGATAATGTGTTTTTTTAATAGCTTGTAATTTCCTTGAAGGGCTTCCGTGGGCCTGCCTCTGCATTGGGAAAATAAGACGACCCACGACTCACGGCATCAGCTTCGCTGGGGTCGTACCACACATGGATGTAGGGGTGGTTCAGAGCCTCCTGCACAGAGATTCGGCTCTCGGGGTCGATCACTAGCATCTTGGACAGCAGGTCACGAGCTTGGCTAGCTGTGGGAGGTGACAGGAAGCTCGCGTACCAGGCCGTCACACTGTATCACCATATTTACCAAGGAATCCAGCACCCATATAACTAACTATGAAATTACAGATGTGGTTTCCATATTTACATATATGTGGACATTATCATGAGAGATGCAGAAGAAACCGGGAGAGAATGGGAGGGAATGCAAACGGGAGAGGGAGATGGATGAGAGAGGGACACAGACTAGAGAGAGACAGGATAGAAGAGGGACTCAGATGGGAGAGGGACAAGATGGGACAGGGGAACATAGACGGGAGAGGAGTG